TGAATTGAGTTCATTTTGCCTTGCTGGTTAACTTTTAAACCAGCACAGCCACTTCTTGTAAATTTTTTTTCTTTTATCAGACTAGGTGCATTCTCTGTGTAGATGGCAGCAGTAAGCTATTTCTGGTAAACATTTTCCATGCTTGCTTTTATTTTCTTTAGACAACTGATACGGCTTATATATCCCATAGGAGCAAGTATTGTGTGTCACTTGCATCTGCAAACAATTGTGGCTTATGTATGTTTTACTTTTTAATTTGGCTTTGTACTGTGTACCATACCAACCAGGGAGCACCTGTGTTGGGCAGTCCCAATGGATTCTACACCTATGTTGAACCCCTACTGATTCCTCTGTTTTCTCCTCTGTAAGAAGAGGCTCATCCAAGCCTTTGAAGTTACTGTTGAGAGTAGGCAATAATGTTGGTAGAGCTCTTCTGATTTCTTGTCTGGCATAAACAGACTGTTGCTTCCCTGGGATCATTTTATGTCTCCATTTAACTCTTCCCTGCTCTCTTGATGCAGTTCTTAATTTTAGCTACTGCATCCCAGTGTAGCTAGTGGCATGAGACTGAGCATGTTGATGGTTTGTCTTGGGGCCTGTTTCTGGAATGACTCACTTCAGAATGACTGAAATATGACTCTGAAGTTTGTCAGTAAGAAAGCTGGTTACAGTAAATGAAGGGGATGAGCAGTCTACATGGTCCTGCCCCCTCTCTGTTATTCACATCCCCTTGAGGACTGTCAGGTCAACTCTTGTTGCTTTGCTCCTGCTCTTACCACAGTAGAAGTTTCCTACCAAGACTGAAATGTATCTTCATCACCATTTACATTCCTGCACAGATTATAGCTTCTTTAATAAAATGAAGGCAGGATTTTAGATTTATTCTCAGCCTGCTGTTTGTTACACTATTGTTGAAATGCTACAAATATTTTTTCATAAGGATGAACATCCAGCAAGGCCATACCACCCCCTCATAATAACAGGTTACATCTGATTGGTAAGTTACCTCAGCAAAAAGTGGACAATCTTTGACCACTGATGACCCACTGAAGTTTCTCCTGTAATGAGGCTCCTCTTGACAGATCAGAGAAACTTGCTGATAACTTTAATCACTGTGAATCTCTTTGTATTGTTTTCTTTCTCTTGGATGTCATCATGTTAAAAGTATTTATTTTTGAGTGAATTATTGGTTGAAGTTTAATAGAATAGACGCTGGCAGCTGGAAGTGTAGAGTGGTGTTACTGCTGATGGGCTGATTATTGAATCCTGTACCTTACAATGAAGCCAGTATTTCAGGGCACTTAAAACAGGAACCTTGCCTCAGTTAGGCTTCCAGGCTCTTGTGATTTGCTTAATCATTTGTGCACTGCTAAACAGGCACTTGCAGATGTTCCCTGTTAGTAAAGCACATTTCATTAGCAAAACTTCAGGACCTCCCCTGTGTTGGAATGTCTGTTCATAAATGTGTCTGAAGTTTAGCTGGACACCTTGAGGAAATGTATGGAAATCCTGCAGCAGAAAACAAACTGTGAATACTGAATATGAGAGGAGTGGGAATGGATGCTTTTATTTTTGTAGAAGTATAATGACTTTACTTTTAGCTTGAACAGATTCAGAAATTCCCTTTGGAGAAGGGAAAAAGAAAGGCATCCATCCCTTCATTTCTCCTTTGGGACCTTGGCTTGGCTGCCTTAAATTATGGGTGGGTGGGAATTCTGTGTGTGTAAACAAAAACCAAATGAACAAAAGCCCTTTTTTAACTTGTTGCTTAGCCATTGTTGAATTTAATACCGTAGCAATTACATTGTTATGGATTACACACGATTTTTCAGGAAGATTTTGTGGACTGACAACAACTGATCTGGATTTTTTTGGTTTTGTTTGGTTGGTTTCTTTTGGCTTTGTTTTTTTTTTTTTTTTGGGTTCTACATTTAACTATTAGGAGTCAATGGAGATCAGACCAATAAAAGCAAGCAAATCTGTAGCGTAGCAAAAGTACTTCTTCATTAAAGTGACACTGCATGTCTTCCCTATTAATATCTTACATCCTTTTAAGACTACTCTGCCCTCTGTAGGACAGCTGTACTTCTGTGACAGGCAGCTGCCCCAGCTGCAGGAACTGAAAATACCGAAAAACAGGGCTGCTGAAATCTGTAACACTGGCACTACTGCACTTGGGATGCCTGGAGCTGGGCTTGGATCACGCAGCAAAAGCAGAGAACAGGAGTTGCTTTGTTATGGGTAATCCTAAACTCCCCTGGGCTGGAAGTTGTAGAGTATCACACCATGCATTATAGATGCAAATACTTGCACACACATAGACAGAGCACACTTTTACTTCCTGAGGGGAGTTACCCTCTGGCTTCTACTTTGTATGTTTGGCACTGTTGCTATATTGTTACACTCTGTTTTTCCCTAGGAAAAACAATAGTGTTTCCTTGATGTAACTGTCTGTGCTTCAGTTTTGTAAATTTCCAGTTTTGTAGTTTCTTACCACTGATGGCAAATCCCTGCATTTTCCAGGTGCTTTCTCACTGGAGCAAAGGAGCCATTGGGCCACTGCCTCTCCCTTGGCAGCACACAGAGCACCTGGGTCCTGTCTGGAGGTTTGTGAGGACTGACCCCTCTCCCAAGAAATGGCCCTTCATCTCCTCTGCTACAGAAACAAGCCACAAATGTCAGAAAAGACACCAGGTACCGACATGAAGAACCTTTCATTATTTGTATTCTCTTTTCACTTATATGTCGGCTTCTCAGGAATGCTTGTTAGGGGATACACTGACTAACTAGTTTTCTAAAAACATAAATGTTTTTGAAGGGAGAAATAGGGACCTCTCAAGAGAAAATAACAGCTTATACTTATTTAGATTTCCAAATAATTCTCCCTACTCCCATTTCCAGATGGCCAAGTAAGTCTTAAAACGTCACAGCTTCTCTCCTGCCCAGTCTCATGCCCCTCAGTTCCTAGGCACTGACTGTATTTCCAGCTCTGGAATACATTATACATTTCAAGGCTTTTGCTGTGGTTCAAATAGCTCAGTATGGAACATAAAGCCATGTTGCCACACTAATACAGCAGTCACTGAATATTTATGACTTCATAGCAACACATCTGCAGTGTTTGTGGGAGTGTTTTTAACAGAAATGTGGGTTTTCCCCCAGAGAACAGATAATTTCCTGAAAATGTTTAATCAACCCATTTAAAATAGAAAATAGATTTTTAATTAGTCTAAATCTAGATGCTTTCAAGATTTTGTCATTATTTTAAAATCCCAACATCATCTTTTTTTGGCTTATTTTTATTTCTAATGGTTCACTTGGCACAATAATTTACTGAAATTGGAAAAATAATATAAGCCCTGAGGGCTTGAACATCAAATCCACTCCCCTCTTCCAAATTTGGGTGTCACATTAACATGCAGTTAAGGAGCAAAATTCATTTACAGTTAGGCGATTTTTTTCTTTTTTTTTTTTGTGCATGAAATAGGGTAAGTCATTCTGCATACTCATATCATCACATCCTCACTTAAATTTTGTAGAATAACACTATGGGAATGCAGACCATTAATACCTAATAACCACATTTATTCCTTTACTTTTGCTGTGTTAATGCAGTAGAGGGTGTTTTGAGTTTGTTTTGGATATTATTTACCTTAGGCAACTTACTAAACAAAACATAATTTCCTTGTAAGCCAAATTCTTGTAATCACTTTAATGCATTAGCAGATAATTTGTACTGATTTACATAGTTTGGCTTAAGAAATTATCTTTACTGTGAGTACAATTATTTAAGCTAGTGATGGAGTACAAGTATTATTCCCAGGAAAGACAAATTTTTATACAAAGTTACTATAACATTTTAACAAAAAGTAAAAATGAAATTTTATTTATTATCACGTTATAATCTTCAGAACTTTTCACAATATTCCTCTTCTGTGCATAAAATCTACTTTTAAACAAATATCAAGAGTGATAGAAAAATTGAAATGACTTAAAAAATTATTAAGGCAAGCAATACATGTTTATATAAATTTTGAGCTGTCATCTTGGGGGGAAAAAAAAGGCAAAGGAAAGATGTAAAATTCAGTGCTGACTTTACGAGAAATCTTATTAATTTTGCTTTAGTGATACTGATCTTCTTCTAGAGTTGGCCCAGGCGAGAGCTCCCAAGACACGGAAAGTGCAGCAATGATCACACCTCTGTGTTGCAGCAGGAGGGGCTGGAGCCTGAGGCTGTCAGGGCACAGCCAGAAGACGTGTGGGATACCAAGCAGAGGAAACTGATGTGCAGCTGGCTGAAGAGTTGCACTGTAAGAAATAATGAAAAATGCCTGTTATTCGATAGACTGGGTCATGCTTGTTTAGAATAAAATCAAAGGCTGTGTTTGTTGAAATGAGTATGAGAGAATCAAAACCAGTCTATTCCTTCGGATCCACCAGGTGGATGTCAATTCCATTATCCTACTCCCACCTTGCATAAGGAAAATGTGATGATCTGTGGGTAGGCATGAACTTAGACAGCTAAGAACTTTGCACTGGAGTTGGAGACTTGGCTGTTTGGAGGGTCAAAATATTAGCAATAGAAAGGTAGGTCTTTAATGTTTATCCACAATTTTTGTAACAATCAAACACTCAAAAATCTCCCTGCAGTTAGTCATAAAAAAAAGTAGTCTCTCTGAACAAATATGAAGACAGAAAACAGCAGACAGGCCATAATTTGCAGAAGCAGAGAACCTTGGACTTTGATGTGGATAATTCACAAACAAAATTGATTGAATGTGCTGGATAAATTCTATTTGCAAGTTCTCCCACATCTAATTCACCTTCTCTCTCCTACATAATGATTTTCTAAAGGTGACAGAAATCACCTATTCTGATCCCAAGGTTATCTCCCCTTACATGATTCATCTCACTTTAGCAATCTGAAATTTATAAGCATCTCTGTTATTACCCAGGTGTTTTTTTTTATTTTTTTTTTTGTTGTTGTAATAGTTTTCCCCAGCTTTGGAGCTTTTGAAATTCAAAGCTTTTTTACTCATTAAGTGTAGGTGACTTCATCTCCACTCAAGGAAACAGCTCTGTTAGGAATGCCCATGTAGGAGTTAAACTGCCTCCTGAAGGAGTGATAATTTTTCATTCTTAGCTTGTGTCATAAGACTAATTTTTTTGTTTTAATGAGAACTTTTGAAGAGGAAGGCATGAACAAGTGATTTAGAGGATAAGCAGCAGCAGAGGAAATACCTAGTGTTTTATGGTGTGGACACTGTACTCTGGTGAGCGGGTGGGCAGCTGGCTCCAGAAATGAGACATGGAAACACAGTTCTCACAAGAAGCCACTGCCCACTCCTTTACATGAGAGCAGGGTGGCAGAAGAGACCTCACTGAAGATAATCCTCTTTCGGTGCCAAAAAACTCCCCACTATAACAGTGCAACATTGCATCCTCTGACTTGGGAAAGTTGGAGAGGCAAACTGAATCAAAGTAACTTAAGCTAACGAAGCCTTTAAAATGACATTTTTCTCAAGGAATAAATTGCATCATTTTGCTACCGTGAACAAATAGTACTTAATCCCTTTTGAAACTCTAATAATGCAAAATCACAAATGCTCCTCATATCTAAAATGTTACACTTCAGTTTCAAAAATTTCAGATCCTAAGCTCATCTGAAGGAAAGCAAACTGAAGAAGAAAATCAAACTCCGACTTTTGAACCTGTTCTGCACAGACTGTTCTTGCAGAGATCAAGAAACCAAAAAATTTCAGTGCCTGAGAAAATCTAGTAATTGGGAATTTGGTAAACATCTCAAGGAAAAGATTTTCACATACATTAACAGAGTGTTGACATCCTTGCTCTTAGCCTTGAATTTTTAATGCAAGTCATCCTTCCATGCATAAGAAAGGTTGAATGACTATTTTTAGAGGAGTTAGAAAAACAAGAATTTCATCTGGACACATCCTTGCATTCATAGCTTTCAACTTTATTCAATATGTTTGAATCTGCATGTGAAATCAGTATGTAGGACTAGACTCTAATACAGCTTTTAGCTGTATAAACTGCGTTAGTTGCAATACCTAACAGGAACTCTCTTCAACTGCATCCACAAGTTAGCTAAGTGCCTAAACTGCTTGCTAATCTGCCCTGCAGTAAATATGAATAGGCTGATACCTGATAAAAAGTTCTAGGACAAACTAGACTGTGATGATTATGGTTTATCTTGTGAAATCAGAACTTCTGAGCTGCATTTCCATTCTATTATTACATAAATGCACTCCGATGGAAAGTACTTCCACAAGCATTAGTTTCCATGACAAATAACGTATGTCTGTGAGAGTGTGTGTGGTACACATTCATATATGTGCTTTTACCTCTGTTAATTAGGCATATGTTCCTTGTCTGTTGGGCTCCTAGTTGAAGGCTGAAAAGAAATAGATGCAATCAATAGTCATTTATATCAGTAAGTTAGGTCAGTGCACAAAGTCTTTCAAAGTTGAATAATTCAGAAAATACATACCTAGGATGAGTCATTTCTTATTTGTTTTACTTCAGATGTGAAGACAACACATGTCCCTGGGAGCAGGGGAGCAAGAGACATCCACAAAAATAAACAGGTGTTGTGTGGGAGAATGATATGAGGTGGATTTTGTACAAATCTTACTCCCAATAGCATGTCTGGTCTTTATCAGTGGCAATTAAGAGAGGCTGAGGAGTACACAAATATTCATTGCCTTGGTGAACTCCTCAGTCAACTGTGACCGTGAGCTTGCCTCATGAACACCTGACTCAGTGACAAATAGGCAGGAAACTGATTTCTGTTATTTTCTTGATATTAAGTTTGAGCATCACGTGAAGCTACAAAATACTTAAGAAATTGGAAGTAAGCCAGGCTAAAGGCGTAGCTTCACAAGTCCAATGGACACTACTGTAAACTACCAATGAGTAAGTATTTTAAAGACTAGAGGTCCTGACTGAAATGCGTACTGTTGAAGTCATGAAGAAAAAAGATGCTTTTCTATGACTTCCTCACTCTCCACATATACAAAAGCTTGTATGTGCTTCAGGGTCCCAAGTTATTTCAACTTTGCTAACTGGGCTGACTAAAGAAGTTTGAGTTCCCATGGATCCAAATGTCAAAATTAAGGTCTTTGTTCATCTTCTATTGACCTAGTAGAGACAACAGAAACTGGTTATTGTGCCCAAAATTAAGTGCTGTTTTTTGGGTTTTCAAAGAACTCTACTCAGACACAACCTGCAAGCTGGAGTGGTATCAACTGATGAATAAGCAATCTATTAGCAACTTGGACTAAAAACAAGGTGCTGATGAGGGTTGAGGAATGAAGCCAGACATTTAGGATAGTGAACGTAATCAATAAACTGCCAGTTCGTAAAAGGTGCATTGGGCTTGTTTGAGTGGGTTTTTTTGGATGAAGCTGGGAAAGAGATTTGGTCTTTGGCAGCTGGTTGGGCATCTGCAAATTTGGAAATCAAAATCTAGAAGAAGAAGTTCTGTGGAGGATGCCTTTACTGCAGTGGATGACCTGGTTACTTATAGTGCCTTACAAGAGTGGGTCAGTATTAAACAGTCTATAGCAACAGCTAGTAAAGCTGTCCTTGAGTATGAAGGCCACTTCAGTGTAAGTACCTATTGATTTTAACAGCTACAAAATAAATGGTTAAAGTTGAGATCCCTGAGGAAAAAGCTTTGACCCTTCCACAGCAGGCCACTTACCTTGCATTTAGTCTTTTCTAAGACCTACCTTCATTTAAAACTATTATATACGTTGCTGGCATTTAAATAACAACAAAACAACAACAATAATAATAAATCAAGCTTAACATTTGTTTAATGCAGTATTTGTCTTCTGAAATCCATCTGAGTTATAGTTTGTCTTTGATGGCTGCTCATTATCTAGCAATGAAGCAGTGACACCTACTAGTCAGTTCTTGCTGCTATGTCAAGAGTGGAGAATAGAGCATCAGTCATTCCCAGTTTTGATGAGGAATCTTGCACTTTACTATGCATCCCTAAAGACCTTCGAACGCTTGTTCAAGGTTCTATAGAGATTAGCTATGAGAGGATAGCTCACTACAAGCAACAAAAACCATCTTACGTAGTTTCTGCAATCTTGTGCATATTTTTAGATGCTAGATGACTAAATCCGTGGGATGTAGCACATGAGGTGCCACAATGGAACTGCAATAGAAGGCAGATTTTGAAATCTCATTTTCATAGGTAATTCAAATGGCCAATGATGTAGACAGAAGTGTTTAAAAAACAATATGATGCCTATGTGCTAGTAAGTATAGATCTGGAATGCATGTGGAAGCTGCATCGTTTTTTAAGACTTTAAAGGAAACTTGTCTAGTAATCCTTGCATAAATCTTGTCTCACCTGCTGTCATTCATTTTCTTAGTGGACATGCACAAACCTAAGACTCTCAAACCTTCAATTCTGTTGTTCTCTCTACTCTTCTGTCTCTCCTACTCTGTAGCACTTCAGGGGTGGCAAGGCAGCTTTCCAATTAGTGTGTGAGCCTTGCTTACAGATAGTTTCCCATGGGCAACAGGCTACTCTGGTGGTGTACCCTAAAAAATCTCAGCTACTTAAATTTCAAAAAGGGTCTTTTGTCCACAAATCTTTTATGTATTTCCCTGAAATTTTATTAAAGTTATTTGGTTTTGTTGGTTTTGTTCTGTTGGCTAACATGCTACTTACTTTCTTGGAAAAAAAGAGAGGATATTATCAACGTCTATGGGTCAGACATATGTATATTATACAGTACTGAGATAAACCATTGTCTGTGCCTCTACCTTCCGCAAATGAACATTCTAGGCCTTATTTAGTTATTCTTAAAATAGGCTTTTGTAGATATTTTGCTCCAAGAGTGGCAGAACTTTTTGCTTTGCAGTTTTTTTGGGGGGGGCGTTATTCAGTCACATATTAAACTGTTGCAAATGGAGACATGAACTTTGTGATAGCATCAAATGTTATAATGGAAGACTGAACCAAGTGTCACTCTCATTAATAACTTTCATTACAGAGAAGCAAGATCAAACTTATCAAGAAACTAAAAATTATGTTCCACACTAATTTATAAGAGATATTTTCTTTTCTCATTAAAATAAAAGCAAATTCCTTTCCTACCAGGCTTCTGATGTGATCTCTTTAAATCCTCAATCAAGACTTCAAAAACTGTCTATGAAAAAGACTATGCAAATCCTTATTTCAAACATGGAATCAGGAGAGGGAGGCCCATGTTTTTAAAGGTACAGAATGGAGAGTCTGTATACAGATGTAAAAACTAGAATTCTTTAAACATATCTAAGGACTGCTAACATTCATATATACTGCTTTATTAAATGGCATGTGAAAAAAAAAAGTCTCTCAAATTAATGCTCTCTGGTCTGCTTTCCTTAGGAATTTTGAAGGAGAAAAGAAAGTAATTTTAATTTTTGTTCCAGGCAATGTATTTCTGTCTGGACTTAGGTATTACTTTTCTGCATCCTTCTTAATTCTTACCCTCACTATGCCTCCAGCTGTAGAGCAAGTCCTTATTTTCAAGCATTGAAATATTTGATAGTAAAGTGCAGTGTTGGACAAGACAGGGGCCTCCATAATGATTTTTCCCACTGTATTTCTGCAGCATTAAGCTGCTGATTTATATGCAACACAGGACATCGACAGTGTAACAGAGGGTAAAAAGGTTAAGATCAGAAGGGAACATAGTGATCATTATCTCAGTTATTGGATAATTTCACAAAATTCACAATTCTGGTGTTGATACTACATTTCTGCTGACAATTCAATAAATGAACTCCGGAGAGGGAGGACAGCTACAGAGGCAGGACAGATCTGGCCTTAAAAAAACCCAGACAAATACTTTCCAAGAATCACCTCCATGTTGACATGAGCTTTGCCTTGCCTATAGAAAACAGGCTGTAGGTACAAATGCAGTGATCCCAAGCCCTCAGGTTCTGAGTGCCTTGTGAAGGCTTTTGATGCTGCACCCCTACCAGCCACAGAGGATATTAACACTGAAATATCTGGACTGCAAAGCTGCCACTGGGCAGCTTTCCCTTAATTACAGGATCTCACAAGTCCATATAAATACAACAACATGTAAGAGAATAATGAAAGCAGTACTGTGGATTATTTTTCTCTTTTGCAGTAACGAAATAACACATTCAGGTGATAATTTTAAATAGCAATATAGAAATGGTACTGAGTGCAATGTAAAAAAGAAACACTGATCTTCATTTCAGCATATGTACTGAATTTTACAGAAATCATAGGCCTAAAATCAATACCACTTAATACAATCTTTTCACAACAAGAGAAAACAGTTTCTAGGAAATGAAGATGATTTATACTGTTGCAGATGACATTCAATCACAAAGAATCATAGAATATCCTGAGCTGGAAGGCATCCACAACGATCATCTAGTCCAGCTGCTGGCCCTACACAGCACAACCCCGAAAGTCCATTTTTCCCCCAAAACGGAAAAAGGTATCTTGAATGACAAATGGTACACTTTTAATTAATGACTCACAATACTCATAAAAACTGCTGTAGCAGTGGAAAGTTCATCAAGAATTTGCAAGTGCCAACTGATGGCTGATTCACAAATAAAATATTGAAGTCATCAAGCAAATTGTTCTAAAGAAACCATCAACCCTAATTGTGATGATGCAGTAGGAAATGGGCTACAGAAAAGCTGAGCCACAGACACTTGGTAAATTTTCTGCCCCATTAACTCTCAGTGAGTTTGTCTCTGGGATGAAATCTTGACTCTGCTGAAGGCCTGATTACGCCACCATAACTTAAATGTGGTCAGATACAGAAAATGCTCATTACAAATTCAATGCCTGATCCAAAAGGCTTTGGATTGGACCTTTGCAGTATACTTACAGTTCAAGGCTTCAGAGTTCTAAAAGGCAGAAAAAATGCAACTTACCACTCAGATTTTAATTTTCTTGTCTGTTTCCAATAGTGGTGTCTCTAGGGTGATGCACTTTTTCCTTTAAGTAAAAAACAAGCATAAAACCAGCAGCAGAAAACAGTAATGGAAGTTTACTGTAAAAATAATGAGTGACTACAAAAAGCTGAATTCTTTAGCATTCTGAACACCAAGCTTCTCTCTCCAGGAAAATAATTTTAAAAGACTGAAAAATGTTTATGATGGTAATTTTAGCATTTATACTTAAGTCTTGTGGAATTTTTCCCCCATCAGTAAGTTACATTGATTCTGGCATTAGATTACTGAGACTTGGGGTTCTGGTTTGTTTTTTTTTTGTTTTGGACAAGCAATTTTTCTTCAAAAATCCAAGTGAAGACCAGACAACTGCAGTGACAGCATGAAGTAAATTCACCATGTTTATAGAGGGGTAACAACAAAAGACTTTTCTGTAGAACAAAACCAAAGAAAAGGAACAAAACCAAAGAGAAGTCACACATGCAGTGTAGGGCATAAATGACCACTACAAAGTAGCTTTTTCTCTGAAGGAGTATAAACAGGCCAAGTAAATCCTTCTTGAAATACAGCCATCTTATAGTTTACCAAGAAAAAAAAAGACTTATAGCTTAGTGCTGCTATAATGGCACAGATTAGATATCATCCTCCTCCATGAGAAATTCTCCTGACAGATAGAACAATATCCACAATTCATCTGTGTGCTTGGCTGCAGATGGATTTGGAAAGGGGCATCCACCACACTCTTGCACTACTATCGAACAGCCAGTGCCACGCTCCTGGTGCCCAGCCCAGGAACCAGGCTGCTAAACTCTCCTAGGCCCTTGCACTTTTGCTGTTAAGTGTTCCACTGTGATGACTAAACTCAGATTATTTCTTCAGTAGATGCAAACACAAAGAGCATTTAATCTCTCCTTGTTGGCAGCAACTGATAGCTCTCCCACTCTGCAAAGTAGCAGACTAGCTTTGGTTTTCCTCTTTCTACTAAATGACTCAAATGATAACAAAAAATATTTTTCTTAATGCATGACTTCATACAAAATGAGGGCATAACCTCTTCCTCCATGTGTCTTTTTAGAAGTAATTAACAAACCTCCTCTCCATAGCCTGCAGCTTTGATGCAGTTCTTTCAGTGACTCAGTGTGTGGGCTTTTGTAAATCCTGTTTTTGTGCACCTCAATTTACTCCATACATTGAATACAAAGGAGCTGAAGAGGATTGTTAACAGTTCTGAATTCCACTAAGTATATTCAACATTTTCAGATATGCATAAGCCTGGTGTAAGTTGGTATATATTAACTGACTATAATAAATGTATGCTTGATATAGTTATGTTTCTGTTAGTTGACACTGCTCAATAGCACATTCAGCTCATTTGGTTACATAAGGTTTGTGGTTTCTTGAAAGATGCAGAGGACCTAAGCATCACCTAGCAGTTTCAAACAGAAACTGCTGGTCTTAGAAGACCCACATATTTAACTTGGGATTTTAACCAATGGCAACAGAAGTCAGGTAAAGTAAATTCAGAAAGTCTCTCAAGTAATTAAACAACAGGAAAATGGGTATCTAGTAAATTCAGAACCATAAGCAACAAACTCCTTGGGAGCTGACTGGCAGATAAACCATGACCCTTATTTCTGACCTCACATGTAGGAGCCAAAACACAAGACTTTGTTTCTAGAACTTCTGATCAAGATTCCTGTCAAGAAACAAATTTCAGATTCATACTTGTTGAGTGGACTGTAGTCTCTCTTTTTCCTTCTGCCACCATTTAAATCTGTCCAGGGCTTCATCCACAGAAATTGCCCCCTTTTTCACCTGTTCCTGCAAGCGGATGAGTTCTTCCTGTTCAGCAGGGAGGTTGTGTTTCACGATGCTGTAAGTTGCTGTGTCAGTGTGGCCTCTGTGTGCTACAAAAAAATGTAGAAAGAGAGAAATGAGAAATGCAACAAATCAATGAGGATTCTACCATTACTCTTTGGCAGCAGAGTAGCATCTTAAACATTTTGTTCATTACTATTGCCCTGGTCCATGGATTCTCCATTAGTGTTGGTTCATACAAGAATTTCCTTCTAGCACTACGTTTCCTTCTATCACTACAGCTAGAGTACTGACGTTTTAAAGGAAATTGTTGCTATGTTAAGACATAAAAAATATCCACAGTGTCTTTTTTCTCATTCCCTCTCCAACTTCACTGCAGTTCCCCAGTACAGTAATAAATTAGTGATTACGTGCTGCTCTATATGATTTAATCCTGACGTGCTACTTGATAACTGAACCAGGAGGAAATATCTTCACTCAGTGTTCATTCATTTGTACACAACATTGCTGATTATTTTAGGGTACCATTAATGGAATTTACAGTAGTAACATTTTGAAGCGCTGCAACTCAAATAACAACTGGACTGCCACAAGTAATTAATTTCACATGGATCTTGGGGTACCCAGGCACTGTTGCTCCCCACACTGCCATCTTTCCATGGCTGGCATTAGTGCACAGCTGAGCCCTCCTGTCTTTCCTTTTCTTGGTTTTAATCACAATAATGAAGGAAACAGAAAAATGTGAAGTAACTCTGACTCTACAAATCTTTCCTACAAGACTATAACTTTTATTCTTCTTTCTTTAATCTGATCTCTTAATGCTGCAATACCATTAAGGACATAAATCACAGGCGGCAAAACAGATGCTAAATTAGCCAAAATCAAGTCACGGCAAATCTCTACTAGTTCTACTGAAAAATATCAAGGCAGTTAAAGAGCTAAATTAAATTCTGTACCAGGCTTCTTAGCGTCGCAATATGTCCTGTTGCTGTCACTGGTCACTCGAGTGGCCTTTTGCTGAAACACTGCAACAACAATAAGAATATAAGGAAGTTGAAAAATGGCAATTTTTCACACATTCTGAACAAAGGAAGTAGACTCATAAAAGCAGGCTGGAATAAGTTTTTTGTTCTAGCCTAGCAGTACTTTTCAACCCACTTGTCAGTCTAATGTTAATTACTTGAAAAATTGTTCTATTGCACAGAATGGCAGGATTATTGATATTACAGCTACCATGACAAAAAGCTTTTAAGAAAATAAAATGGACTTATCACCTTAACATGTTACTTGTTCAGAAGAAATAGCTAGACCTCAGAGTTCTTCACACGGTACAGACACTTACTGTAGCCTGCTTATTAATTTATGGGGAAAGCTAAGGCAGAAATAAACCAAATAGTACCAGGTGAGAATAATGACACTGCTAAAGAAAGAGTATGTGTATAGTTTTGTCTATTTTATTCAAGTCCTAGGAACAGCAAAGCACAATCACTTTGTTAGCATAGCCCATCATCCCCATTCCTGTGAAGTGCCCAGAGTACAGCCAGCCTGGATATGCCCTAAAATGCTACCGTCAAACTTTTGCTGGCAGCACAGTAAAACCCAGAAAGTGGGAATTTCTGACTTAGCTACTGCCACACAAGCTTTCCCTCTTAAGTCTCAGTTCTGCTTTTAGCTAAACAAACTGACAATCTAGAATAATTCCTTCCAATTAAGTAATCCTCTGTCATCACTGCAATGCAGCAAATGTGCCAGTTCAATGGAGCAAATATTTGCTTGGGGACCGAGGCCCAGTACAACGGAGCTCTGCTCAAGCAGCAGAACAGGTTCGGCGTGGTAGCCTGGAGTCCTGGCTTCTTGCTCCTGTGGACCAGGGAAACCCAGTGGAGCTTGGTTTGCACCTTGTCTGCCTGCCCAGGGCTGCCTTGTACAATGCATCTCCTTCTCTCATGGAAACTTGTAAAATGGATGATCAAGACCACTGTGACACCTAAACTCAGCACATGCTGCATGCAGAGGTGAGGAAGGAGCAATTCATAAGGGTGTATTTTCTACACTGCAGAGCAAAGTTTTTATGCTAACTCCTGCGTAGGCTTGTATGGAAGGTGATGATGAATGAAAACAGCTAGGGACTTGATGTTCATTAAAAAAGTTCTCAGCCTATATGCAGAGCGAAAACACAGGCAGCATAAGCTGATGATGTTATGTCCCTAGCTCAGCCTAACACTGAGACAGATTTTAACTTTTGTAATACTCTTCTGTCATTCTCAAAGTATCCTGCTAAATATGGTTGCAGTATTTTCTTCTATACTTGAAATAGTATTCTCCTTTAAAAGATGAAATTAAAGTAATGAGAACACAGACGTAATGCAGGCAGCCTGAATTTTACTGCGTAAGGAGAAGGGACATACTCAACAGTGTGCCTGATTAGAAAGCACTTTAATTGATAGACTTTGAAATTTCTGCTGAGTTTTGCAGTGTTGGAGTAATCAGAAATGGAATTACTTCTCCAGTGAAAAGTAGAACTATTAAAACCACTTTACGTGCCGCATCTTATTGGAATGATTTTAGTTGGCAGCAAGCATTCAGTGTGGGTGAGGTCAGCGAAAACAAACGCCTGTTTCTGGAATGCCTGGAAAGACAGGCACACTCCACCATAAAACTGCCATAGGTTTAGGGAAGACTCTGGCAACTCACCCTTTCATTTCCACATTCTTATGAACTACTCAAATACAGCAGTTAAATAAAAGAAACCGGTCATCTTGCACAGGAATGGTCATCTTCCATTATTTCTTTATGGAAGATAAAGTAAATATACCTTCAGTAAAGCAGGATTAATAAAGCAATTTTTTAAAGTGTCACAATTCCACAATCCTTTATTTATATATATATTTTTTTTTTCTGTGCCTCTCTGACATAGATAATCTGATTAAAAGGGTATAGTACTTCTTTTATACTTTTATACTTAATGTGCACATTTCAATAACATCTGTATGATCAGAAAGAGAGTCCTTTTGAATTTTTAATCATGTTGTGACTGGCTAAAGTACCTATAGACGCTTGTAGGTCAAAATCCACAAATTAAATGTCCTGACCTGATATATGCTATATAATTTTTGTCTACATCGTATCTCTTCTTCCCTTGCAGTTTCTCAGAATTAAAGGAGGCTGAGAGAACTAATAAGTAATTCCATTTATTCCCTCTCCTCTCTTCAGCTGCTACAGGATACAGATGAAGTTTTTTGCAAGCCCTAAATACATTTTTATGCCTTAGGCAGTAAGATCACTCTTTAGGAATGTAATGTAACCTCAATATTCCTCCAGCAAAGCAAACTCAGAAAGCATGAAACTACTGCAGTATTTTCTAGTAGGACTTGAAACCAGAAAGTAACATTTAAAAAGTGGGACAAAACACAAATTTTGTGGCAAATACGCAGAACTCTGGGAAAATCCCTAACGTAAAGCTTGGAAAGTCAGTGGGATCCAAGGAACTCTGAATTGCCTTTTTCATCTCAATCAGACTAGCTACAGATCTTATTTCAGGTTGTCCGCAAATGCAGGTAAATAAAGCTATGATTTTGAAATGTGGTTAATATTTTCATGGTTATTACCACAAACAGAGGGGTTAGAAACACTTGAAATCTAAGTCTCTTGTGTATAATTCTGTACTAAAAGCAGTGTTGTATAGTGCAAGAAACTGTGCAGGGTATAAGGGGTCTAGAGAGAGAGAGAAAAATTTTTTACAATAGCTGCTAGTTGACAAAAAGAACAGGAATTTAATTTTCAGAATTAATAGAGTTTCTAACAAAAAGCTGTAACAGTAAGGAATCACAGATGCACTATGACATTTCAAAAATTGCTTAGTGATGTAATTAAAAACACAGGCAATCAAAACGTGGAAGGAGTTAGATCATGGGAGAGGAGAACTCATATCAGTTAGGAGGCAATGATCAACCAAGATATGGTTTCTAATTTATATTTGACTTTACCCATCTAAACTATGAGGGATATTGCCTATGTGCTGTATTGGCAACATTACCTCTAAAAATCAAACAACAGTTTGTCACTATGCACTAGTGATTCAAACAAAGCTAGACTGATAAATCTACCCTCTGGAAGAATATGTGAGCTAATCATACCTAATACTTATATACTTAGTCCACCCTTCCAGTAGCACAAACACAAAGGAGAAAAGACACAGTGGAAAAAAAAATCAATCAATAAATATCACTCTTTTGAATTCAGCTTGCTTAGGAAATGCAAGATGCATTTATTCATCAGCTTCATTGAGCTGATGTTCCAAACAAAATTATCTATCACCATGACTACTTTAATCAGTAAACATTCAAAACCAAAATACAGGGGAACAAAGTCTTTATATGAACACAAGACTAAGTGATAATTCAAATTAATTAATACACTAGGGTTCCACTTATTAACACATATCAACTCAGATGCAAATTACAATGAACTTGTAAGCTTCCTCCTTGTTCTTAGTAGGTTTCTGCTTCATTCATTTTAGAACTGTCATGCAATTAATTAATGATTAATGGCAGAATGGAGAAGAAGGGGTGAATTGCTAGTTGGGATATGTTGCAGGGAGAGACTCCTATCTTTGCCCATTTCATTTTTTTCCCAGTATTTAAACATCTTAACAACTCAACTGCGTATGCAGAGTACCTAGGCAAATAAAACTTGCAAGTTCTTTTTTTCTGGTAGGGATTAGATTGTAAATTAGATGTAGCACAGCAAGGGATGACAAATACACAGAGAATACTAAGGAAGGAATATAGTAGAATGATGCTTATTATTCAGGAGATGAGAACTCTGCAGATATTTGTTCCCATCTTTTTAGATTTCATTTTCCTTTTGTCTGTTTTGGTTGCTAACACACTGAACCTCACTCAGCATGAGGACTAGAGAGAGGTCATCAATCCAATGCTAACCAGTAAGAGATGACTAATAACCACTCCTAAAACTTACACAAAATATTTCACATATTTCAGATTAAACCAAAAAATTCTAGAGACTCCTAACATGAAATCAACTAAGGAAATGGGGCCCTGTAAACAGACTTTTTTATTTTTCCAAGAGAAGGCAGCTGAGCACAGAACAAAATGCATCAGTATGCCTCATGAATCTGGTCTAATTATCGTGGAGAAGGGATGGCTGTACGGTGCAAGGTAACAAAGGCTCAAGTCCCAGAAGCTGTCCTGTCGTGGCAGCATAGGTATCTGAATGCACTTACCACCATGACAAGACAAAGGGAAAAAGTCTGTTTTAAATGCACAAGTGCAAGAAAATGAGTGACCACATCTCAGCTGGTACAGAAATTCTGATCTGGACTAAATGTTCAGCCTGACACTCAAGACATTTTTGATAACACACAACCGTCATTTCATCAGAATAAAGATTAGGTGAGATCAAATGCACTTGCAGAAATATCCTACTGCCACGTCGCTCTGTTACTTGCAGTGGCCCAGTGCATGCTGCCTGAGTTTTTCAGCGACAGCATCACATCCACTCATCACAACTTACAAGGGCTATTGTCAGCCTCTACCTTGCACAGTTACTTAGTTGGCTGAGAATGAAAAATCCCATTTTCTCAGACCAATAGCAGATTGGTTTTAAAAAGAATTACAGTGTAATCACAATGTGAAATTATTAGTCCAAAAATAAACAAATGTTCGCCATCAATTCTCTTCCCAATTTTGCAGAGCATAAAAGCTCAAACCTGTTAGAATCCCAGCAAGTTTGGTCACAGAGGGACCTCAAGAGGTCCTGAGGTCATTAGAGATCTCATTACATAGAGATGACTCCTCTACACTGAGGCAAGATAATAAAAATAATACCAGAACCCCTTTTTACAGAAGGGGTAAAGAATGAGTGAGAAGAATAGGTACTGGTGGTTAGTTCAAGATGCTATTCAAAGAGTGGTGTCAAAGTACTTGCTGTACCATACACAATGAAAAGAATTCACAACTTTGCTCTTATTGGAAGTTTAACTTAGTGGATCATGGAAGTTGGA